CATGCAATAGATAGGGATATGTAGTATAATCTCCCAAATAAATCAATGTCTCAGATTCTTATAGTTAGGAGTCTTACCCTTCAGTAACTTGGTTTAATACTTCATTCAAAATTACTGTTGTTAATTATAACCACCTTTCATATTCTTGATGCATACATAAACAATCAATCCCTTCTTAACCTTAATTATGCTTAATTTAGGAAATGCAGGTGTTCTCAGAATGGTTAGTTCTTAAATATATATGTCTCGGTCTCATTCTTAGATTGCTGCTTAATCACTTTAAAAAATATATTTCCTCTCTGGCTAGTATACTTTTTTTGTACTAATTTGCTTATTTATCTGGTTTATTTTTAGACTGTAACATTGTACCAGAAAACAAAATGTCATCATGCTGTTGAAAACTAAATAGCTCATCTTCAGTCCTGTAGTAAACAATTTAATTATTGTGGAAACTGAATTATTGCTCTTTAGAATTGTTCAGTTATTACTTATGAAATATGATTCTTCTTTCTAAATTATTAACTGCTTGAATTTCTTGAGATGAGTAGCATAGACCAACTGAAGGACATTCCCTTGATTAAATATAGCTCTATAACTTGTCATGCATTCTTGAGCTGCAAGGTGATTTTTCAAGATGAGTTTGAGACCTAAAAAGCTGGGAATTGGACTACCCAGTTGCTGGATGCTCTCAAACGCTGTGTGAATTTTCACCAGCTAGTTTCAGGCCTGGGAGCTCTGAATGTAATGAAAGGCTCACTCAAAAGTGTTTCTAGAAAGCAAATGTTGGGTTAACTTTGGTGCAGTGCACATCCTGTGGGTGTGAACATGAAGGTCTTCTCATGCTGGTCACGGAGACTAACATTTATCTGCCTGACAGGACACATTTCTCATGTTCACTCAGTAGCAGGAAGAAAAACCACAAACCCAGCAACCATATTGGAGTCTATTGTCGGTTCATCATGAAATCAGTCCAGTGCTGCCCCAGCAAGCTGGGGAGGAAGGGGTCAGAAAGAGAGAGTGTCCTGGGTGACTGTCTCCTTGGGCCAGGGACTGCCTCCGCTCCATGGCTCTGCTATGGGACCCTTGTTTTTGACATGTAGTTTCCACAATACTCATAAATGATTATGAGCTACTTCCAGTCCGGACTGATGAGTTCACGATCAATCAATATTAATTACAGAATCTGCTACTCTTCTTCCTCACTCCCCTCAGGGTCTTAAATGCCACTGTTTCATGGGCCAGGGTTCCTATTGATTATCACATCCCCAACCAGTGCTTCCTTGTTAGTGAGTAGTAGATCCAGCTGTAAGTTGACCCATCAATACCTGTATCAAAAATTATCCCCGATGCAGTCCAGAAATCTCCCAGGTTGCTTGCATTACTCTGTGCTGCCCTTCCTGTAGATGTCAGGGAGATGGAATTCTGCTAGTGGACCCAGAGTTTGTGATCCAGAGACTTCCTCGAATTGTTTAAAGGAGTCTTCTGTTACCAGCACTATGCCTCACTCTTCTGGAACTGACAGCATGGATGCCTGGGTAAAAGTAAACTCAGGTTACTGGTCTGTTTGTAGGAGAGATGGGGTGTTGCCCAAGAGCACCTACAGCTGGAGGTGAAGCAATAGAGTATAAGAGGCAGAAGGTGATGAGAAACAAGATGGTTCCTCCCTTGGGCAGAAGAGTGCTAGCTGACAGTGGTTAAAGGATGTCTCTGCTGTCTTGAAATAGTTTGTTCCCCATGGTGATTACCTATCGTGAGATGAAGGCAAAAGGTCTGAGCAGATGCACTACACTTCAGCTTGCTGCCTGTTTGCTATGGAGAAGGGCCCTGGTTGTTGGAGCTCCAGCTGTGCAGATTTGCATAATTCTTTAGGAGCGGTACAGCTTCTCTTCCCTTTCCCATTCAGTGGGATCACTTGGACATGCTAGCCTGAGAGACTTTGCATGGCTGTGAGTTTTATGTCTTGCTCCTAACTGCTGGTTTACAAATTCCCCTTTCAGCTCTTTTCAGAACCTAGTTCCAGTATTTTTTATTATTTAGATTTCTTTGGATTATGGGTAGTCTTTGAAAACTAGAGCGTGGCAGCTAATTAAATGTAGGATTTCAACAGTCCTTCAAGCAAAAATAGTTTCCTGTGATATGTGTGGCTGTATATGTCAAATGCTTCAGGTTTCACTTTTATTTAGGATTTCATAATGTTGCACTATATATAATTCTTGCAGGCATTACAAGGTAGCATGTTTTGCATTGCTGTAGCATGCCACACAGCTATCTAAACAGCAACAGTTCACCTATTTACTACCTTAACTCTAATGAATCCTGTTACTGGGTTTTGGGGAATAAAGAAGTCTAAGAAAGATGGATTCTGCTCAACCAGTGGAGCAGAAAGAGGAGGGAAAGTAAAACCCCAGACTTGAATTCTGACAGGAACATTTCCTGTAGCTGTAGGGAAGCTGTTTTGCAGCACTGGAACCCTAGGGTTTCCCAAAACCGCCTGCTCGGCATGCATGCCAGTGCAGAGGAGGTGTGATTGTATAGCTGGGGGCAGGTCCAGCAGATGGCAGAGGCAGGAGAGGTAGATGGAAAATAAACATCTTGGCAAAGTTAGGTAGGAGTCATAGCATGTAGTAATTGCTGCAGTTTTGTGTTTGACAGGCTTTTAGGAATTCTTCTCTCGCATTTAATGTTAACTTGTTAAAGGCCACCAGATTAGACAGAGGGGTGAAGTTGAATATGTTGCTTTTTTTGCTAGGACTTCAGGCCTAAAAGAGCTTAGTACATAAATCACGTTTATCCCTAGGGAAGCTGTTTGATTGCTCCGGGTAATGGGGTTTGTGCATTCCTGACTTACTCCTAGCAGTACAGAGCATAGTGCAGCAAACTAGTTAGATTAGGATTGACTTGAACGTGGTTGCTGTCTCCTCCTCACCTCTTCTTTTTCACTGCCTAGCAGCTGCCTGGTTTCTACTTCTGCTGCTTCTTCTATGCCTGTTTAGGCAACCTCCCCACCCCTAAGCCCCCCAAACCAAACCCAAACCACTAAACATTGTGTTGTGTTGTGAAACTCCGTGTTTGCAGTGAGTGCTGCCAAATATCAGTTGTTTAATGGTAATGGCAAAATAGTGTGCAGTGAGTTGGAAGCTGGAGTTGTAAATATGTGATGACCTTGATGGCCAAAGCTGTTTGGATTATGCTAAGGACTATTTCAGAGCCCTGACAAGATGTTGTGACGTGCCTGTGAAATTCTGGGAGCTTTGGAAATGTGAGTTTCAGAAACTGTGCTTTCAGTGCCATGTGAATATTTGTCCAGAAAGGCCAGGTTTATGTTCCCTCATTACACTGGCAAATTCTTTCTGGCTGGCTGGGGGAAGTGTTCAGGGGAATCCTGCCAGCTCCTCTTACGGTCTGGAATAGCTCAGATGATAAGCCTCTGCATGTCCTTTGAAACCAGCAGTTGACTAATAGAAATGCAGAGTACATGTTTAGAGGAAACATGGAGTGCTTAGGTCCTGGCTACTTAAGTCTGACCCAGGAAATTCCTGGTGTTCTATACACCCTGGAATCAAAGTGTATAGTTGTGGTGGTGAACACCGAATTGGTGCTGGGACTCTAGCCAAAGGGATTTGGCTCAGGTTAGGTTGCCAGTGAAGGAGTGGCATGACCCAGAAATGAGGTGTTGTGGGTGGAAGGTGAGAAAATGTCTATTGAACTCTTCCATACCTCCTGTTAGATACTAGTTAGGTTACTTTGCAGTAGTGAACGTTGGTGAGAGTGGCGGTCTGAGCACGTTTTAAGTAATCGCAAGACGTTTTACATAGAGTTGTCAGTAAGTTGGCAGCACTGTTGAAAGCAAAAGGCAAAAGTTTACTTCTGCATCAGTATTTTATCCTTTCTAATGAGGTGCTAGAGGGAGTAAGGTATAAGGCAGTTTTTGTTACAGAGATATGTTCAGAAAGAAATAACACTTTCCTGTGATTGTGTTCCTATTATGTGGGCCAGGGGATAAGCAACAGATTTTAATGATGTATAGTCTCCTATGGATATAGCAGATTGAGGTTCATCACACTTACTTTAACTATCTAAAAGTTAAATTTCTCTGTTAGTACTCCTACTATAGTTTCCTCCTGCTATAAGTAATCAACAGGCAGAGGCAATACTGGCAGCTCTCTTCTGCCTTAGATTCCTGTGTCAGGGTAGGGTGAGTGCCCTTCTGTGGACTGTGGGAAGTCTAGATAACCAACATAAAATAGATGCCTAACTGTGTGGTGGCTGGACTTTAGTGGTGTGAGCATCTTAGGAAGAACACTGAGACCTGAAGCACGCCAGTAGACGGTTACATGAGGGCAAAATGGGTCTTCAACCACGAAGTGCTCCTGCATCGCGAATCAATTAACACATAGCTGTCACAGCCACCGAGAATGGAATTAGGAGAGTTGCAAAAAGAAATCCTGTGGCCCAGCAACAAGCTTAGCATTTGTGTCTGCTTTTGCTTTACCCTACCAGAGTCCTAGTTCTGCAGTATATGTTGATGATCATCAATAAACTTGATTTATTTTGCTGGACCTACAGGAGAGCAAGCTGTGAGGACATAGAGGGTACGTTGCCTCTTGTTCCTGGGACAGGTGTTTGGAGATGACTAGTGAAAGCACCTCAGCTGACCTTCCCTGTAAGAACAGAGTCATTTAATCTCTGAGCTGGTGAGATCCTTTCTGATTTCTAGGTCTGTAAAACAGGCAAAAGCCAGAATTCAAATATGATGGAGTTAAAGATGAGTGCAAGATGATTGCCATTTAGTTTTTTTCTGTGGCTTCACCAGAGGAAAACAGACTTAAAAAGACTTGGAATTGGAGCTTCTAGTGAAAAGACGTTCCAAATTGGATGTGCCTTTCCTTTATTGTAATCCACTTACTGCATTTAGCAAAGTATTTGCATCAATGAAACTGATTTTATAGCACTTAGTACTCAGGCAAGATTTAAAACACATTAGCAGAACTGCTTCAGAAATGAAGCTTGTAACTGCAAACAGTGGAAATGCAAGTTCAAGGTATGTTTCAGGTAAATGGCTCTGTTTTAATCTGTGATAATTTAACCATTCATTTTCATCTATTAGAAGCCATCTGTCAGCACACAGAAGGATCACTGAACTCAGTTCAGAAATATCTCTGGATACTTGGCCAACTGATCATCAGCTGTTTTCAAAAGCGATGTTGATGGTTGCAGTAACTCAGGCTGTAAGTGAAGTCCAGTGTCCGTGCTTGATGGTGCATTAAATCATGGCTTTCATCCAAAATTGGACTATTACAGCTTAACTAGTGTATAATTCTGGGTATACAGGGGCAACAAAGAATGCACAGCTTTGTCAATGTCCTTTTCAAAGAAAGCTAAAGCAAGGCATTATTTGGCATTTATTGGATTTTTTTTCTCCCCCCTGTCAGCCAGTAGGAAATGTGATATATGTGACTGGAATCTTAATCGTAATCCACTCCCTTTAAGAAATTTGTCTCACTGGTTAATTTCATCCAAATTAGACAGAGTAACAGAAGTCTTAAAGGTAGTGGGTTCCTACAAGTTTAATGAAAAACAGCATCTGGACAGAAGAGAGAGATCAAAACTGAGGTTTCCTATTTTGTTTGGCCTCCTGTTTGGCCCATCAACTCGTCCTGCTAGCTGGCAGGGCATCAGATGGATGCTTCCCAACCAGGCAAAACTTGCTCTGTCTCCTAAACAACTGATAGTTAAAAGATGTGGGAAGCAGTTTCTGAAAAGTGAGACGGAAGTTTCTCCTCAAAACAGGGCTTCCTTCAGTTGTAGATCTATTCATGTGTCTTTGATGGGTTAAAGCTTCCCCCCAAGTGTGCAGCTTCATATGCCTTTGAAATATATTGCTCTTTCATGCCTGTTCATGTGATCCTTATACATATTCTTATCTCTTGTGTAGGCAATGGCTGCCTGGTTACCTACAGTTTTTGCATCAAAAAGCGCTCATGACTGACCAGTGGAGGATTATTTCTCTCCATTTCTGTGGTCTCAGTTTTTAGGCATTTCAAGATGTTTAAATCTGTGTAATGGAGGAATTTTTTTTTTTTTCCTGGCCGGTTCACCTTCTATGGAGGGGCATGATTTTAACCGATCAAATTAGTAAAAAGCTCCCTATGGACATCCTTGGATTGGCGCGTGGGGGCACTTTTGTGAGGAGTGTTATAATATAATACTTACAGGGCTTTTATCTGGGTTACAGAATCAGGTGGAGAAGTCACTGTAGTGTGATAATTGACTGCTTAGATCTAGGTGGTATGTATCATCACTCTAGATATTACAAGTTCAAATGTAAGATTAGAGCTGCTCGATTTATTTTTAGTGAATCTCCTTCTTCTGGAAGAATACAGTCATCCTGTGCCCCTGTTGAAGCCGAACATTTCTTTGTGCTTGTAGTGGCACAAAGCAAGCAGCAATTTTGCTGAAAGGAACAAGGGAAGTGGTAAGAACAAGTCATTTTCCCCCCCCTGCAGCAGCACCGTCATGTATTGTAACTTCCTGTCTCAGTTGATGGTTCTGCTATTTTGCAAGACAGCGATTCATTAATTTCACCTCATCTGTGAAAGCTGCTCTCCTCCTGCCAGGTTTATAAGATTAAAAAAAGAAGAATAGCGCATGAAGCAATTAATCTATTCCCCCTGCCCCACTCCCCTTTGCCTCTGAATTCTCTCTGACAAAACTACCAGTTCATGCAGTTGTGCCATCTCATCTTTCTGACAGCCCGCTGTGAGGGCTCTGAGAACAGAGCTGGAAGACCGTCAGATGAGGCTGCTGGCAAATAGCATCCTTCTGTGAGATGCTGTAGACAGGCAGAAGACCTACCGTCCCTGCCTCGCAGCTCATGTTAACTGCAGAAGTCTTGATAGGCTTTTAGGGTCTGGAGCAGCCGGTCTAGCTTCGTGGACTGGAATTAAACTGCCAAACGTAGTTGGTCTCTATGGTCATTGGAGAGGAACTAGGTGTCTCTAGTTTGAGATGAATCACACCCTCAAAGAAACTATCTCCACTATGAAGAAGCCTCAGACTGACTTGGATAGAGGTGTTTACATTTCATATACTGTAAACGAAGTGAGATGAACCCTGTATCTTCCCTGAGATGGGCCTTCAAACACAGTTGTCATATTTAGGGGAGGGGTGGTGGTGGCATTTGCAAAGCAAAGGAGCAGTGCCAGTGAATTCCAGCATTGTGTGAGGTCACTTCTCTTGAGCTGCTGGCCACTGCCCAGAAACTTATCAGCTCATGCTCAAATTCATCACTTCTCAAGGGAATGTGGCTGTTCATCACAGTTCCTAGGTGAGATGACGAGTCACTACTGCTGCCTCTCCTGGATGTGGTTGGGGTTTCGTTGGGAACAATACAGACAACTCGGAGGCATCCTGCATGCCACTAGATTTTACTGCATGAGTAATAAAGCAGCACTACGGTGCTGTTTTTGGTATTGCAAGTCACAACTTGTGGGGGTTTCCTTATATATAGCTCTTCATACATCTGGTATGAGACTCTTAGAAAAACTTTGTCTGACTGAATACTAGAATTCATACTCTATAATTCATACATTATAATTCAGACATTATAATTTGTGTTTCAAAGCTTATAAGCGGGCTTTGTGCATAGCAGTTTGAAGCAAGTTTGCATGAATCAAAATATATTTTTTCTGAGAAGAGGCTAACAATTTTGTGTTTCAGTAGCTTTCCAGATGAAATCTGCTCAGTTTGTAAGTAAAAGAATTGGCAGGAGGAAAAGGTAAACTTAAGGCTTGTCAGATGTTCAGGCAGACTTCTGTTCACTGAGAAATATCCTGGTTTCTTCTAGTTCATGAACGTTGTTCAAGAACAAAGATAGACCCTGGCAAATTTTGGCCTCATCTGTATTTCTACAATATAAATGTCGCACAGTTCAGTCCTCCTTTGCACTTGCAATATTAATGAAGGTATGGAATAAATTGATGTGATGCTATTAAAAGAATCATGTCTGTTTACAGTGGTAGAAAAGTATATCGTTTCAATTACTTTTCTTAAAAGGTAGGGTTTTGATCAAAGAGAGAATGCATAATCAAATAAAGTAACTGTGTATCTTTATCACACTATCTGAAATTTGTGTTAAAATTCAAAGGAGAATCTGATAGAGATTAAATAATCAAAAATCATCTGAAGATTCAGAGATTGATCTGAGCCACAGTTCAATTTTGAGAGAACAGAATTAAGGCAAATTTGGGGAATTACAATGTGTGCCATGTAATACTGTTGCTACTGCTGTCTTCTGAAAATGGATAGAAGACTTAAGATCCTTGAAATTTTAAGCACTAAGTCTATCTTTGTTTGGAAGGAGGGCAGAAGAAAAAAAAAAAACCAAAACATTTTCTGTGATACTCTGAACATTTCAGGAAAAAGATATCACTTGTACATTTCCAAAAAGAAAAGAAAAAAAATGTCTGACAAAATCAGTCACAGATTAGGATGATACGCTGCAATGGCTGAAAGCTCAGATTTTGCCTACTTCAAGGCAGCAGGGTTTGTTTGTATCGGGCCAGGGTACCAAGGATAGGGTAGCCCAACACAGGAGAAAAAAGAGAGTTTTATATTTCTTTTGCAGTCTGGAAAAAAGAACTGCTAACTGTACTACGTAGGTGGCACCAAATGTTTTGTTCAGTGATTTTAAAGTAAATAGTGAAACCCAAAGATACAATATTTTCAGGTTAAATAAAATACTTTGGGCACCGCAAAAAGACCTGGAAGAAAGTTCTAAAGGAAAAGATACTGATGATGCAGGGAAGATGGAAGTGCTTGATTTCATAATTTTTCCCCCAGACTATTGATTTGGCAATTTGTAGCAATTATCCAACAGCTTATAGTTAAAATTTCTTACTCACTTTAAAAAGTCACATACAGGTCTACTGTGAAGCTCATGAAGGTGGTTTTCATGAACTGTCTTTATTCTGAGAAGTTATCTGTGGTCTCTGCAACCTCTTTCCTTACATGCAAGTTGCAGCGCCAGGCAGTTCAGTACATGATTTGCTTCTGCTGGTGACCTTTTTATTGTCCAGATATCTTTCCTCTCCTGAGGAAGATGGGGGAAATATTACATGATCCTTGTAAAGTCCAGACACCAGGAATTGCCGCAGGGGGCATTGAAATAGGCTGAAAGTTTCATAACACGAAACATAATAAATGTGAGGAGAAAAACTATCATGACTTTAGTCTATGTAAAATCTTATCATATTGTAAAAAGTTTGGCTGGGAAGTAGATCAGTTTATCTCTCTGTTCTGCTGTGCGAGGTCCACTCTTTTTCATATTTCTCTCTCAGTGTAGTTAGACCTATTCTTCAAGGTTGGGTAACCGGGGGATTTTCAGAAATGAACCTGTGCAGAGCAACGTATTCTTGATTTAGATGTTGTTTTTGGCAAAGGTCTTAATTTTAGTTAGAGGTTAAACTAGTACTGCTTTCCCAAAAAAAACAATTTCGTAAGCTTTTGTGAATATTAAGAGCATTTGCATTGGCTGTTCTCTTATTCCTTTGGTACTTGTCCATGATGTTCTTAGGAGAGCAATTTTAAGATCATATTCCTGAATAGTTGTGCTGAGGGTAGTTTTAAATTTCATCTCAGGTGGGGTGGAGTCTGCTATAGAGAGGAGTGGTGCCAAAATACTTGACAAGGCTGAAGCCAGTTTGGTTTTGAAGTGAAAGAGGAAGACAACGTGGCTCTGTGTTTTGTGACTTGGAGTTCATTCAGTGTGTCCCTTAGCATCTGGTGGTAGCAGAAAGGCGACAGCCTCTTCCCTCCATCTCCCTAGTAAATTCATAGCGGTTGCTCGTCTTCTACACACAGCTTTGGTACAGGGGCCGTTAGGTGTTTGAAGCAAAAGTTTGATGTGTGTGATACCTGCCCTGATAAAAGAAGAACATTACATTCCACTTTCAGTTTCCTTATACTTGCTGTCTTCTGCCCTGCCTAAGGTGCAGGCTAGCATGCCTTGAACCCCTGGAATAGTAAGGTACGTTAAACACC